GGCATACTTGGCAACAAGACTTTCATTTCATTTTCGTTATCATCACCATCATCAACTTCATCGTGTTTCATCGCAATGTGTTAACGCTGCTAGAGTCCGCGAGTGCAGAAACCACTTTTCTAAGTGTGTGTGTGTGTTTTTTTTCTCTCGCCTGCCCATGCCAGCACTGCTGCAGGTAATGAGCTGTGCCGAAGAAGAAGCAAAGGTGTGCTTAGCTTTGCTAATGTGAGCCGGTTCAACAGAAGCGACACGATGAGACAGGAAATGGAGGCAAGTGGCACTTACGGAGAGGAGGATTCGGCGTGCCCATGTGTAGAAGCTAAACTATCGAATCCAAGCTCTGTGTTCTGTGGCCACGAATTTCAAAGGGACCAGAGCTGAGAACGAAGGATGGCGAATTCCTGGATACGACCGGAGAGTCATGTCCTCAGTATTCCGTGTGGCCGGCAGTACAACTCTTTCTGCAATGTAATGCCGTGGCAGGGCAGGCAAGCTTTCTTTGATAACCCTGCCATGCTCTGTAAATCGTACAAGGGATCCCATTCTTGCCTTTGCAGTCTACGACCCCAAGATTCAGAAGCAGACACCAGTGTCTGTTGCGGACATCATTGATGCGTGCTCTTTGTCCCCCTCAGACAAAGCATGATGTCGAGATGTCGGTGTCGTTTCAGATTTTACACAGAGCTACCGAAACCCATACACCAGTATTGCTCCAGCTTGCGGCTCTGCGTGGCCCTCACTCCATTCGCAGCAGGAGGAGGCTGGCGCCTCAGTTCCATGCAACGGGGTAAGTGCTTCCAGAATTTGGCTTGCTGAGAATGTAGTTGCAAGCTCATGCTCACCTGCAGGCTCGTCCATGACATACCAGTTGGAGCGAGCTGCTTCCATCTACCCACTTATCTACCCGACCCCTTCAGCGCTTTAACCGAGCGCCTGATCATTTTTTCTGGGTCCTTAGAATGTTAGCCCCGACAAGCGCGTCTCTGCTGCCGACCTGCAAGGCCACGATGGCGCTGTCTCAAGGATACAGGAGGCCCGACGACGCCTGCGTAGGTACTCGTATCGCCTCCTGCGCTGCACTGCAGTGCATACAAGCCTGTCTGCGTAGCTGTCGTCGTCTTTGATCCCGCGCTTCTGCAAAAACCCATTTCTCTGACACTACGAGGGGTAGCTACAGCCCAGGAAGTTCAGGCGACCGCCTCATTCCACGCAGCAGATGCAGATGCCGGTAGCTCCGCATACACGGCAGTCGTCCATGGCGAGTCGTCATGCCTGGCACGCCGACATAGGTGCAATTGCCATCTCTGGAAAGGCCCAGAAAATGCAAGGAACGGGCCACCTGACAGCGAACCTCACTGGATGACCAGTTGCGACCGTTCTAAATCACAGCTGTGATTTCATCTCTCCTTGCCGGTCTCTACCGTTTGGCGAACGCGACCGCAGACTCCCATGCCCGTTCAGAGCCTGCAGTAGTAGGGCCGTAGGCTCCAAAAGGCCTTTGTGTCGCACCTATCGAATCGACGACTCTTGGAGGAGAGCGGCGTTCGGCTTTATGTGGACGACATGATCCACGAGGGCCATCAGGTCAGAAGTTCACGACCATGCATTTCCGAGATTCTGAGCACCACCATGCAATTCTGAGATCCTGAGCCTGCCCTATAAAATCGGCAAGCTTTCTGCCCTGGCCCCTCGCATTTTCCTAGCAAGGGCACTAGGAGACACACAGACACACCATGAGACCCCTGTTTCAGCTTGCCGTGCTGGCCGGCACTCGCGAGCAACTTCTGGGAGCCCGGCTCTCGGTCTCGGTCTGCGTGCGATGCGGGTGCCAGCCAGAACTGGCGAGAGCAGGGCCTTGAGCGCTTCAACGCGCTGGTGCAGGCGCCACCGGCATGCCACGGCTGCAAGCGCCACTTTGAGTACCTTTGAGTCTGACATGGACGAGTACCTGAGTTGCAAGGAACGGGTAGACGACGAAGAATTTGTCGCCTGGGCTGACATTAAGTTCTTCAAGCCTGTGCCAGATCCAGGCTTGGGCTCCCAGCACAGAAAGAAGGCCGGTTCGTGCGTCCCACAGCGAATGCGACTGGAAGTGTCTCGAGGCCCTGCCACCAGCGAGGCACCAGAAAAGTTTGGGTAGAAATAGGGAGTCGAGCTTGGCACTTGGGCCGGGGGACTCCCGGTTCTTTGTGAGCCGTGCACCCAACTTCTTCCTGGAAACTCCGCACAGGGACCTGGCAATCAGAAAGTCCTCTTCGTGGGCGGTTTATCCCAGCCGGCGCCTTGTCGCTAGGACCAGCATGGCAGCTGCCCCTCTTCAGCACATCAAAGTTGGTTGCAAAACCCCGTCTGACACTCGGTCAGATGTTCGCAGATTGCAACACATGCAGCTGCAAGGCAGACGGATCCCGCCAGCCTGGAGCGCTACTTCTCGAGGCAGAAACGAGCCCAAAAGTGGAGACTTGGCATGGCCGATGGAGCTAAAATGCATGTTCGCAGATGTACTGCCCAGATCTAGGGTTTGCCACGGTGCCTCAGATCGAACAGCCATGTACGGCCAGATGCACCGGGGTCCTTGGGACAGAGAACTTGTAGTTTCTGTACCTCTATATACCCATATACAGCAGTAGCACAAGGGCAGAACTGAAAAGGCAATGCCCCGCAAGCATCGTAACGTCAATATAACATAGTTTGGAGGCCATGGCTTTTGCTGTGACGGTTGCTTTGCTAAGTGGGCAGTGCGTGTCCTTTGAAGTCACAGGCGAGATGACCATGAGCGAAGTAAGACAGGTGGCACAGGCAAAGATGGGGCGCACTCTGATTGCGTTGCTGTCACCCTTTGGCACGCATCTGGATCCGATCAGCAGCGTGGCCCAAAGTGGCCTGCAAGACGGAGCGGTCATCGGCGCCATCGCAAAGGCGGGCCCGAAGTTGCAGTCGCATCGGAAGGCCAGCACCTTCGCTGCTATTCTTGCTGATGGTTCAGTCGTGACCTGGGGGCATCGATTTCATGGCGGAGACAGCCATGCCGTGCGCGATCAGCTGCTGAATGTGCATGAGATCTACGCCACACACAAGGCCCTGGCAGCTGTGAAGGCAGATGGCTCTGTTGTCGCATGGGGCCACGCCGATCATGGTGGTGACAATTCGGGCGTGCAAGACGATCTCCAGATGGTCAGGCAAGTATTTGCCTCCATGCAGGCTTTTGCGGCCTTGAGGAGTGACGGGAGAGTTGTCACGTGGGGAAATGCGTCCCACGGTGGGGACAGCCAACGGCTGGCAGGTCAGCTTGAGGACGTCAGAGAGATCTATTCTACAGAGGCTGCATTTGCAGCAGTGCGAGGCGACCGGTCTGTGGTGACATGGGGGCATGAAGAGCAAGGTGGCGAAAGCGCAGCGATCTCGCATGAACTTCTTCATGTTCGAGACATTGCTGCTTCTGGAAAGGCCTTTGCAGCTGTGCGTCGCAACGGCACGGTAGTGTCTTGGGGACACCCTGAATATGGAGGAGATAGTTCGGCTGTGAAGGACCGAGTCAGAGAGCGCATTTACAGCTGCGAAACGCAGTCCAGTTAACATGGTGCGCGTCGATCTAGCTGCATAAATGGACAAGCAACGTTCCGCTCGATTCCGAAGTATCAAACGGTTTCCGTGCACAATACAGTGCCGTTTTGAATTCGCACAATTAGCGTGTATGTCTTCGGATTCATTAGGTCTCGCCTCTTCAGCTACTCAGTGTTTTTGCCTGTCGTCACCAGCTCCTTTTCAGTTTTTCTGCTGCTTGCATGCCGGCGATTCTGACTTCGAGTCCCAGCTAGACCCGCCACTCGGGTCTGGAAAGGTCGAATAAGACAAGCTAGGCTACTTCCGGGCATGGTAAGTGCCTGAGCAAGTGGTGTTCTACCGCATATTTCCATGTTCCCGACCTCAGTTCCACCCATGCGTCTCGCGGGGGCCTGCCTTGCATTCCATTCCGCATGAAGCGCAACAACAGAGACTCCAACAACAGAGACTCAACCTGTAGCCGGTCTTGCGGGCATCGTGACCCTGGCAACCGCAATGCATGTCCCATCCATCAACAGTAGTCTTAAGCTTCTAGTTGCTCGTTGGTTTCTGTGGCAAATCAACAAATCAAGGAGCAGCTCGTGAATGTGGAATCCATCCACAGCTCCAGTGGTGCATTTGCGGCTATCAAGACGAACGGGTCTGTGATAACTTGGGGCCACGCCTTGAGCGGAGGCGACTGCCGGCCGGTGGAGGCACAGCTGGATGCGGGCTCTGTAGGCCATATCTACTCCTCCAACAAGGCATTCGCCGCCCTTACCACGAACGGCACCGTGGCGCCCTCGAAGCACATGTGGGGGATCTTCTGAGCTTCAGATCTTGACTCTTGCTTTCTGGAAAATAACCGCGACTAAAGAACAGAAGCGCACTACTTAATCTACATGGTGCTGCCTCGTATTTACTGTTGTGCGCGTGTGACATGTGCACATGCCAAGCAGCTTCAAAAGGAAAATTTTGCCTGTCACCGGATGTGACCTGAATCCTTGCCGGCGGTGTTGCATGTTTTGCCTTTTTCTCTCTGGATAAGCTGCTTGTGGACCCCGGGGAGGATGCAGAGTCCTTCATGCACTGAATGATTATCTTACTTGTGGGCCACTTGTGGGTGTCCTTACCTCCCTGATGCACAGCAGGTTACATGGGGTCATCCGCTCTATGGGGGTGACAGCCGATCGGTTCAGAAGCAGCTTGTCAACGTTCTCACTGTGCACTCTGCAGAGACGGCTTTTGCTGCAGTCCGAGACGATGGGACAGTTGTAACTTGGGGTCATCCAGAATACGGCGGCTTCAGCCATGCAGCACAAAGCCAACTGAGATACTCGGAATGAACCTGGATCAGGTGTGACCTTTAGACGCAAGCCCAATGCGAACACGCGCATTATACTTGTCGTGATGGACTTGCTTGCATGGCCTGAGTATGGCATGGTCCACTAAGGAGACGTCCAGCACATTCATGCCTCTTTGGGCGCATTCGTTGCTCTCACATCGAGAGGAAAAGTCGCCACTTGGGGTCATCCCGCATACGGAGGTGACAGCAGTGCAGCAGCTTTGCTGAAATCGTGCAAATTTCCTTGTCAGGCGGCTAGATTGCAAACTCTTTGAAATCTTAATTAAGTGGTAGGCAGTGAAAGGGAAAGTAAAAGCAATAGGCTGCATCTGGTGAGTCGTTGGAACACGGGGTTTGAACATGCCCAGTCCAGGTGTTGTCCGCTGCGTGTGAAGCATCCACCACAAGGTACTTAAGTTGTTTAAGCCTTGTTGAGCTACCTCCTACCAGTGTGGACTAGCCGAACAAATTCACTTGGCATTTCTGGCTTCCGGTCTCCCCACTCAGCGAAACAAGACGATGTGAGATTTGGAAGTAGGTCAACAGAACCCAAGAAACGTGACTGCTCAGGGCAGTGGTTTCGCATCCTTGCATGCGCAAGCAAAGCAAGCTAATTCAAAGCCACTCACAACACGTTTGCAAGAGTCAAGTCGCAGCTGCACCGTGCCGCGGAGCGGCCCCAGCGGAGGTACAAGATCAGCTTTACGATATCCTGGAAGTTCACGCGTCAAGCGGCGCCTTTGCAGCCGTGCGGGCAGACGGCGCCGTCATCACATGGGGGCATCCGCTAAGTGGAGGAGACAGCCGACCCGTTCGAAAGCAGCTAGCAGCCCAAGTCTGAAGATAAAGTGCAAAAGTTACATGAGCAGCTCGCAAGGCGCAGCCTGCAGGCCGTGTGATAAAGAACAGTTTCATGGCAGGTTCGGCGAAGTCGTGGAGGCCGACGTGAAGATGGACCGGCTCGCTATGAATTCGACTTGCGAGTGCATGTGAATGAGCGTGCCAGAGCCAGGACACACACACAAAGCGGTCCAAGGGGTTTGGGTTTGTGGCTTTTGCAAACGAGCTGGAACCTCAGCTTTTCAGCTACATGTTACTCCGGCTCTGAGAGCTCTGCCACTGGCCAGATCAAAGCTGAGGGCGTTGGCTGAAGCTTGCCTGGCGGATCCAAAGGAAAGCTGCCGGTTTACGGAGCCTTATACTGGGAGATGTTGGGAGTCTTCCGAATCAAACATGCCCGTCAGGGCCATGTCCTTGACGGCAAGCGCATTGACGTCAAGCGATATGGAAGCACGGAGTCTGGAGCAGGCTCGCCCGGGGAAGTCTTCTACTCCCTGCACCTTAGCACTTTTCACGAAAGCTGACTCCTTTTTGGAGCGTGCGGGAGTTCTTGTTACAGATTTGGCTTGGGTCCAACGAGACTTCAGGGCAGCTCCTAATGCAGCCAGGCTGCTCTCTTGGATTAGGAGGGGCGCGCCCCCTGCCTTGATGCCCCGCGTCAAGGTACCGACAGCAGAACCGCTAGTTGTACGCCACAACACAGCCGCAGAGCACATCTGCACATTGACATGTGAAGACAGCAGCCTTGCCTGGGAATGATTCGCACTCACCGCAGGTGTCTTTATCGATTCCGCGCAATAAGCATAAGAATTCGCAAGTTTGTAGCAGGCGAGAATTTCTCGCATTGAGGAATCAGCTTTTGCCATGCATTCAGAGCAGGCTTGGGTTTCACGAGAACGCATGCGAACTCAGTTTCTCCATCAAGCTTGATTGAATAGCAGCCTGCCAGTTCGCAACACGTAAAGCGCACTGCATCACATTCGCTTTCGCTCAGCGCAAGTCTGCTCACGGCTCAGGGCCTTGCCCCACGCGATCTCAGAGCGAAGCTCGTTTCTGCCTCGCTGTTTGTCGTGCGACCATAGGCCATGCGCGTGTCCTGCGAACGGCCCAGCACAACCGGCAGGGCCACTCACAGTGTGGAGCCCATCAAGGAACGCGCAAGAAGTGCAGGCAGATGTCTCTTCCCAACGTGAAAGCACTTCCTTGATCCTCCTTGCTACCTTCGAAACTGAGCTCGTGACCACGCCGTGACCCCCCGAGATGCTGCCTTGATCTGCCTTGCTACCTTGCTGCGCTTGACCGCTCTCGAATCCTTCGCCGCTCCTTCGTGCTTTCGGAACACCCTGATGCGAAACGGACCGACGGAAGCTGTCAAACAGGAGTGCCTGCACCCCCGGTAGCTGATGGTCACTGTCATCCGATTCGGGACGCTGTGAGACGGATTCCGAGACGAACAACTCGTTCAGGCATTGCGGCCCTCGCCAAGTCAAAGCCTAGATGCGTTCAGAACAGCTGAAGGTCTCAGGACAAAGAGTGCTAACATCTGAAGTTGACTTCCTTTTTTGCCTTATGTGCCTTGAAGCCACGGCTGACACAGCACGCCAGCCAAGAACAAAGCCGAGTGAGCAATTCCAAGCTGCTTGCGACGAATTCCTAAATTGTCTGAAGGTCAGCAGCAACGCGATCGACGAGCAGAGGGCGTCCCACAGAGAGGCCAAGCACGTGCCGGCAGCATGAGCAGTCACAGAGCGACGTGAGAAGCACCAGCAAAACCGACAACAGGCACGCAGCCGTCACAGGCACAAAGGGCGCAGGTGCCCCAGGTATGCGTTCTGAGGTGTTCTGAGACTTCCCGATGGTACCCCAAGAAGATCGTTATTCAGCATGCTATCAGTTCTGCTTGTCGTGCGAGATGCCTCCATACCAAGGCCTCCAGATGGCAGCAACCCCCGCGGCGAGAGACTTATGCATGTCAGGGTGGTGCAGGCGGTGAGCGGAAAATGACGTGAGGCCGAGGTGCCAAGGGTGATTCTGGACGCATCCGCCCCGGTCTTAGCCTGTGAGGGTCTTTGGCGAGTGTGTTACACGTGGGCTCTTCTGATCTAAGTTCCCCTACTCGTAACTTGAAGCGAGAAGAGAGAAGCGAACCCCTACATCGCTCCTGCAGACGATTTCTGTCGTGCATTGTTCATAAGATTTCTGTATTTCCGGGGATTCGAAATGAAGTCTCGAACCATTTGCCAGGGAATGCCGTAAAAGCAGGAGGCATTGAGGGCCAGCTACAAGCTGCATGCTCTGATTCTGAAAGCAAATTTGCAGACACCCCGGTGACAACTGTAAAGCGAGACAGACACATCCGACGATCCTGCAACAGCAAGTACTCGTGGAAGCGACGGGACGGCGGCAGATGCAGATGCTCTCGTCGCCCAACACTGATGCGCAACGGTGTGTCGAGGCAGTGCTGGCACCTAGAGCATGGCATGCATCTGCAGGAAAATGGAGTTGCTAGAGGGAGCATCCCTAACACTCAATTACTGGAGACTGGCCGAAGTGGGGAAAGCGTTAAGTTGACAGAACGAGGAGCTTCTGGCGATGATCGCGTCCACATCTCGGGTGCTCCGAGTCAAGTGGAGGCATCGTCCCAAACAGACGCTATCACGATCTAGCTAGCCAAGCGCTTTGACTTTGTCCTGTTTCCTTCCGGAGTCCAAGACTCTGACGGCCAAAACTAAAGCTGCCACAAGGGCCAACGTCAGTTGGTCCGGCGAGGCTTCGAGAAGTGCTGTCCTAGCAGACATTAAGTGGCACACGGCTCAGAGTCCCAGCACACAAGAATCTGCATCGTCTCATGAGTAAAGCCCAGGTTCAGCGGATTGGCGGAATCTGCATGGATCTCAAAACTACGCAATGCTCTGTGCTTGAGGGGATGATGAAAGGATGCTTCTCTGTTAGGTTCCAGCAGAATACCTGAATGAAGAGTACTGCATTTCGTCCGGAGCTCAGTTCGGCACTTTTATCCTCAAGAAAAGCCTAGGAAGCCCTTCCATGCCCCTCCCCTCCCCCTGTCGCCAGCACGGCTTCCCATCTTCGAAGTCTGCGTCTGCTCCCCTCAGAGGAGTCGAAGATCTCTCAAAAGCCCTCACGAAGCCTTATGACCTTGGAAGCTCCAATAACTTGTGCATCGAATGTGGTGCGAGGTGCAGCTTGCCAAGCGCACGATGCGGCGCTCTGATTGGTCGTCGGGGTGAAAATATCAACGAGGTAGCCTTCCTCTATTCTTCGGCTTCTGGCTCTGCACTCCTCTGACAGGTGGAAAGAAAGACAGGGGCAACCGTGCAGCTGGCCAAGAAAAACCAGGATCCGGACTCCTGCCGCCTGCGAATGCCTGCGATTCTGTCCGTCCACCAAGCACACCACTCACAGTGCGTTCACATGTGTCAGGCCGACTATCGAGAGTTGACGGTGACAGGAACGTTGATTTCAGCGGGAAGCTTAAAACGAGTCTTAAGCTTCACTGAAGCAGGAATGCTTGCCCCGAACTGGAAATGTCAGGTGAACGGCAACACCCTTCATCCTTGCAGCAACAACAACAAAATAACAAAAAATAAATTTTTCACTACGAACATTCTCACCCTACAGATAATGCATTTGGGGGCCACACCACTGACTGGCGTTACGGTCGTGGGGTCCCCGGTCACGTAACATAACACAAGTGTTCCACTCAGGTCGTTCCACGACCCAGGGGGTCACACCACTGACTGGCGATACGGACGTGGGGTCTCCGTAGACATAACAAAACACGTGGTCGAATCAGGTCGGTGGACGATTCATGGGGGCACACCACTGACTGGCGTTAAGGTCCTGATGTCCCCGGGTTGGGCACTCCAGAGAGTCTCACGGGATCTCACGGGTGTTTTTGGGGTTGGGCACTCTAGGGAGTCTCACGGTAGTCTGTACAGGTGGGCACTCCAGGCAGTCTGAAATCCAACAACCCCACACCGAGGGTGGGGAACAACAGCAAACAACAACAACAACAACATTAACAAGGCCTGCCATGGGGTTTCTCTTGGTCCTACAGCCACAGCGCATCCCACAGGATGACAGCTTGAAACTTGGATGGTGCACCTCAGCGCGAACCAGTTTTTACAGATGATATCGGATAGAGCGCTGCACTGTTGGCTTCATGGCGTTGAACTACAAACCTGTACGATCGATCATGATAACTGGCAGAACAGGTGTATGCAGCGCATTTGCTGCTGATGCGGGATTACAATGAAGCAACACGGGCTGTGGCCTTAGTTGCCTTATACTGTGCGGCTTCGGATGAGCCAGGACAGGACATTTCTGAAGGCGTACACATCCAACATAGTTCAGACGCAAGGAGCGTTGGCATGTGACCTGAGACCTAGGCATTAGCTTTTCTTTACAATGCCTTGCCGTGCTAGTTTTTTTTCAGCCAGGCTTCAGAAGCGCCGTCTGCCGCGGAGCAGAAGGTGCAGGTAGCGGGTAGCGGACATGTCCGACTGCGCATGGCAAAAGCGTGCATGTCAAGGAGGCTAAGGGCTAAGGCTGCCGGTTGTAGCCGTTTGCATTCGAATCTCCAATATCTATCGATCCCACTGGAGAGATGCAGGGTCTTGACGGGCACAGAGGTACGAGTGCTGGAAGCGTTTGAACTGAAGTACTCTAGATCCTGGAGATCACAGCCAAAGCCTTTGCAGTATGTTGAGCTGCAATATTGTGGTTACAAACGGGCCCCCAATCTCACAGGTATTCCAAATGGTGAGTGTTTGGGTCAGTGTACATTTGTTCTCACATCCACTGCATCTCTCAAATCTGTCTTGTCGTGACGTCGGACTCTCCGGTGTGTCTGCATGTTGACCGGTACCTGTGCTGTGGCTTGCATGTGTATCCCATAGTATCCTGGTCGAAATAGATTCGTGGGTTTGTCTCAGGCACTGGAACGGGAGATTGCGAGCCTGAAGCAGCAGATCCCAGGCGAGGATGCAAAGCCCGAAGCCTCCAAATCTCAAAGCATCTCAAAGCCCTGGAGCCTGTGTCCTTCGGAAAGGTCGCGCCATGGCAAATCGTTCCCACCGCTGAATTGAATCCAAAAGAGCGCTGTAGTGTACACACTGCAAGAAAGGTTTGGATTCGCGAATTTACTGTACCACTTCGTGTTCAAGTCTTTGAACGAGATGCGGCTACGCCACTCTTACATTGACACTGAGAATTCAACGATTGGAGTTGCACCACGAGCCTTCATCTTTGCACAGGTCTTAACTAGAAGAAACATGCCAGCGAGTCGTTGCGGTATGATAGAGCAACATTTCGAGAGATGCAAGGATGAATATCAACTTTCTGCAGCTGTAGCAGCGTCAGCTTCCCGTTTTGAGCCTAGGATTGGAACGGAAACCCCGATAATAATACATTGACTTGTTTCCACTGCGTGAATTCTTTGCTGCAAAGAATTTTTAATGAATAGTGTCATAGACTCAGGCCTGGAACCTTGATGTGATATTCAAGCAGCTGAATCCAGTCGTTCGAGTGATAAATACAAATAGCGATGATACAAAACAAGTTCATATAAAAGGATATGCTAGAGGGTTAATCCGATTAATGAATCTATATCGTGTATATTTCTATCTATCTATCTATCTATCTATCTATCTATCTATCTATCTATCTATATATACTCATTTATATTTATTTAAGGGGCTGCGCCCAGAGTCGGGCAATGCAGGCAGTTCACTCATTCATGCATTCCTTAATTCATTCAATCATTCATTCGTTCATTCATTCATTCAATCAATCTATCAACCAATCAATCATTCAATCATCAATCAATTAATCAATCAATGATTCAATCATTTAATCATTCGTTCATTCAATCATTCATTCATTCATTCATTCACTCATTCATGGG